GATTTTCGTCGTGTAGAGAGAGCCAATCAAACGTGGACTGAAAAGCTGGGAAGCACTGTGCAACTGTTTCGACCTGGTTGTGTTTCATCTGCGCAGTGCGCGAGTTTATCAACGGGACTGGGGATCGAATGGAGGAACTTACAGGCAGCACGCAAGTATACTGGCCACTTGGCCACCAGGCAACTGATCAGAACGTTTTTTAATTTTCTGTATTTCTGTCATGTTAAAGAAAACTCCATCGAGAGTGATTCATTATTAAATGGTGGACATGAACATCATGACCCAGATGAACACTGTGAAGATCCTAAGAGTTAAACAAACTTAATGTGAAACGTGTGTGTGGATAATTAGGAACTTTACGTATTAAGATTTGAAGAATGATTTTGCGTGGAAGATCAGCGTGTTATAAAATTTCAGTAATGAACACTAACGGATGGTGGATTATGCAGATTCTTGGCACCATTGCGAGATGTTGACATGTGTCACGCTCAACCTAACGCGTGTGCCTTGGTTCACCGGATAAAACCAGCGAAATTTATTACCCTAGCTTCCATGCGATTCAATGGGGAAGATTAGGCGACGTTGGTTGGGTTCAAACACGTGACCTGCGGAGTGTGGGTGATGAATCGCGGCCTCTTAACGCTTGACCGCCGCCGCGTAAAATACAAGCAAACATGGAACAACTATTGAGTAAATGTAGTCTAGTATTCATTTAAAAAATTCATTCTACGATTTGCAGCTTTCGTCTACAAACCAATATGTACGCTGTCGTACAACAAGGAGTGTTACCTGCCTCCTAACAATCGAATCGAGAACAACAATGATCGATGTGAAACGCAACCGGAGGTTAGATACGAGTGGCCCAACTACACGCGCGTGCGTACGCACACACACACACACACACGGGATAGATAGATATACCGGCATTATAAACAACAGTTCGTTTTTGAATGAACAGAATGGTAAGCAAACATTGTGCGACAGTGCAGAGAGAGACAGAGAAAACACTACTAACCAAACTGTGTTCCACAAGAGCGCTCAAATAACCACGAAAACGTCTTCGGAGAGCCAGTAAATCGGTACCATCTGGACCGGTGGCCCAGTCCGGTTGTCCGAGCAAATGCAACCCCTGCTGGACGAGGTATAGTATGAACTGATTAACCAACTGTACACGTAATTTGGTCCGTTGTTGTGGTTGTGTGGATAGGACGTGCAGGAAGCAGTCGAGGCAATCGAACAGGAATTCATAGGCACACATCGGATCGAAAATCACCGGGGATTGTGTTGAATTGATTGTGCTCGGAGTGACCTGGCACGTGATTAGTAGAGTGACAAATTGGACCGGTTCGAAAAACGATTCGGACACGAGACGTTCGATTGTGTTGCACACTCGTACCTGTAAAACACCATAACGACACAGTGAGTTCGTTGTAAAACAAGCAACTAGTGGACATACGACTCATCATTAATATTATTATTGTTTCATAGGAAAACAAACCTATGACCAGAAAATGATACACTAAGACATCTGAAAGTGTCATGCATACTATTGAGAACCCTTGGAGGTATCGTACAGCTATTTCATTCGTATCAAGAATTAGCGCAGCGAATACCCACGAGTTAAGCTACAACTATACAAAGCATGTTGGGCCTTCATAAATGTACAGTATATTTTCTGGATTAGTCATATCTATTAGCGATCATTGTGTTCTTCTTGTTCGATCAAAGGTATACTGTCTCACTGCTTATCAAACATTCACACGTTCTACTCAGGTAAAATTTCATCGAAGGTACTTTTCACCTCGCTGCATCTCCCTTCTCAACCGCCTTGTTGTGATTGTTTAGTCTTGGTTTCATTCTTTTCCAGCGCTTTTTAAATCTATCAATCTGTTCACTGAAACGATTAAATTGATCTTTAACTTGTGTTGTCCAATGAAAACCCTGTTTGTCTGTGACGGTAGAATTATCTCATTCTTTATGAAATCACTGAAAAAGCACAGAGAAAAGGCATACAAATCTCATCATGCATCTGACTTAATTAGGTCTGAGATAACGCATCTGAATGCAATCTTCGCCGCCCAAATTCTGCAAACAAAGAATACCAGGCTTTTATGGCAAGGTATTCGAGTTTTACGTGGGTAGAACAGAAACACTCCGATACCCGTCAAACGAGAACCCGACTCCCTCCGTCCCGTACAATAAATCCAATTCAGTGTCTTTTTCCAATGATGGAATCTTTGAGCTTCTCCGATCCTCTAAAGCATCCTCAGATGCAAGTCCTAATGCTCTTCCTCCGGCACTTGGGAGCAGTTTCCCTGACCAATTTGATGACATCCGTCGGTAATGAGTCTCTGTCTCTCCGGTCGATTCCTGATTCATGGCGTCCAGTGATCATTATTCCAATCCCCCAATCCCCGTCCTCAACTGTTCTTACGAAACGGTTTCGTTCTATCATATTGACTTCCGAAGCTCTAAAACTGACTAAAAAGGCCATCCTGAGTCGCTTGCAGTCAATTGCCACAGTCCCTATGACCCCTCCAGTTTGCATATAAACCTAACAGATCTACATTGAACGTCGTATCCACTCTAATCCGTTTTATCAGCAAGTCATTGAACAATTCAGTCAAGCCTGTCCGTTGTGTTTTTCTTGACCATTCGTCCGCGTTGGATACTGTTTCTCGATTATCCATTCCTTTGGCGCTCCGAGACAGTTTCTCTTATGGCTTTCTGACCATTTCACAGAGAGTGCACCAAAATGGAAAAGGGGTCATCAAAACCTCTTGTTAATAATTCTGGTGTTCTTCAAGGTGCTATTCCATCTCTGCATCTTTTTTCGGCTTTTATTAGTGATCTTGCAGTCCCATCCCTTGCGCACATCCAAAATTAGGCTGATGACGTCGTTTTATGTCAGACAATTTTCACCTCCTTCGGAATTCGATTCTTTCACTGAAAATCTATCAAAAATCCAACAGTTTTCCAATCAATCTGGTCTCAGTCTTAACACATCTAAGTGGGTAGAGTGTATCTTCAGTCTTTCCCGTTCCTCATTTCCAACACTCTGCTATCCTTAACTGTAAACCTGTATCCAGAATGGCGTCAGTCAATTACACGGGTTCCACCATCGAGTGATCTTTCGTGGTTCACACGCAATGACAATTCAATGGGAAAATTAAAACGCCTCTCAAACTCAAGCAATTGCGGACCCCACCGTCAGTCCTGTCCCCTTTTGTTCACTAATGCATTCCACCCATTCTACTCAATTGCTCCCCTGTGGTGTTTCCCGGCTTTTTAAAACAAGATTTGATAACCATTCGTCGGGGTTTGATGATAATCAGTTCTGTATCATTAATCCCAATTGATATATTGATCAAATCAATTCTTGTTGAATTTGTTATTAAGATTCTAGACAACCTGCTTCATCCACTGCACTACGATCTGTCGTTCCCATCCGTCCACACGCTCCTCTTTTCGGGATCTGCCCTCTTGTATAAACATTTATACCCTACCCTGCCGGACTTCTAACCAAAAACGAGCAGGTAGCCAGTGAATTACGTCAGGATTTTTACACATGAAACAAACTTCAGTGACATTATTCACTTTGCCTGTAGTATGAAACTGCATATTTTATTCCGTGTGACGATCAGTGTACATTTTTAATTGAAATGTAAGTATATAAGCTTACACAAGTAATACAAATACAAGATACTGTGATGCATGGTGAAGAGAATTACACGACTAGAGGGAAGATCGATCCAGGGGAAAAAGGAACACCATTCGAACACAAATTCAACGCGTCTGTGAACCTCGAATTTGAAAAACACGCAAACCACTAGAATCTTTCACAATCGATCCTAAGTCAATGGAATCTATGGGTTCGAACTATTTTACATCTTCAAACATCGAGTTCATTAAAAATCATTAGGTCGAGAATGAATCGAATCAAGTTTGCAAGAGTCGTAGTACACGACGTATACGGAGGGTTTTACCCATCGCAAACGGATCACCGACGATGTCGCCGTTTTGAATATTCGTCTATCTTAGAAAACGAAAAATGGGAACAAAGAGAGTACAGTTCATAATAGTACACAGCCTCAATGTCTGTGAAAATCACATAGACGATTCAAGACTATGGCTGCTTCTTTTTATTTACCCGTGTTGCTCCGATGCCTATAATTCGAGTCCCAACCGGAAGGTTCATGGCCTCCGTCCGGGCAAGAACCGCCCCTCCCTCTAAAAACATAGGATGCACTTTTTGAGTTCCACTGGATGAAACAGATGTCTGGTGCTCTTTGTGGAGAATCACATCAATCCATCTCTACTGAATGCTCTTACACGTCAGGACCGCACAAGAGGTGAGACCTACAGCGAATAACATCACACAGGTGATAGGCGATTACTTCTAATTCAATTAATTTTGTGTACATACTGGTCAGAACAGACGTGGTAAAGATAGGAGCAAAAAGGGGTATATCGGACAAACCTTTGTGTAAAGATGTTGTACCACACGGAACAGATCGATCGCATCGGAGCTCACAGATCGTGGACTGAGTTTTGCTTGTTTTGTCGGCGGTTGACGACCAGATTTGGCATCCAACCAGCTGGATGTGTTCCATGTGCTCAGGACGCGGAACAGTAGTCCTTCTAGTCGTTGTCGTAAACTCCAGCCCAGTGGAACAACCGAATCACATGTTTGAGCGTTATCTTCCACATGCAAATCTTCCATCAGAATCTGACAGAGATGATCCTCATAGGTTGGTTTATTGACTCCGTTGGACAGATCGTTTTTCGCTCTGGGCGGTGATAGGAGTGATTTGGCACGGGAGCCAGGCTCGGGCATAGTGTGATGCCAGAACGGTGTGGATGGACGTGGTGTGGAAGTTTCAAGCCAATCACGTTGAAGAAGTTCACAGAACACTTCCACGAATTCGCACGGTGCCGCGTGATATGTGGAAAGGTCCAAATCGGACAGAATTTCCGAATGACAGGATTTGCAGGCCTGTAGATAGGTCTCTAACAGATTCACAGTTGCTCCTACTTCTTCGGCATAAGTGATCTGTGATCAAGAGCGAATAACGCAACATAAATAGAAAGTAGGCTAACGGAAACAGCGCTAATAAGGGGAAACGNACAGAATGCTGTCACTTAATTATACTTGGACAATCTAAACAAAATACATTTTGCTCTCTCCACCCCCCACACGCTTAAATTGATCGTTAATTGTTCAATTATCTTCACTAAAACTTGTGTTCAACGGGTTTGGTGTAGAAAACCACATAATCGGACAGGTGTGTTGATGAGCCGAACGGCAATGTAACTGACCATCGACATCGATCTTATCTATCTATCTATCCATGTCTTTCTATCCGTGTCTATCTATCCGCGTCTATCTATCTGTGTTGATCTATCTATCTATCTATCTATCTATCTATCTATATATCTATCTATCTAACTATCTGTCTCTTTATCTATCTATCTATCTATCTATCTATCTATCTATCTATCTATCTATTCATCTATCTGTCTATATCAAATCTATCTATCTATCTATCTATCTATCTATCTATCTGTCTATCTATCTCACTGTGTCTATCTTATATCTATCTATCTATCTATCTATCTATGTAGCAATCTATCTATATATCTATCTATCTATAGTCCATCGATTGTTTATCTATCTATATATCTATGCATATTTCTGTCTATCTATGCTATAAATCTATCTATCTATCTATGTATCTGAATATCTATCTAACTATCTGTCTATTTATCTATATGTCTATCTATCTATCTATCTATCTATCTGTCTATCTATCTTTCTAGTGATATATCCATCCAATATCTATCTATCTATCTATCTATCTATCTATCTATCTATCTATCTATCTATCTATCTATGTCTATCTATCTATCTATCTATCTATCTATCTATCTATCTATCTATCTATCTATCTATCATCTGTCTATAGCCTTCTTTGTCTGTTCTTCTTTTTCTCAGACTGTTGGAAGTTAGCATCCTGAAAAATAGGACAACAAATTAACAAAAAACTTGGTTACACAAATATATTACAGGACAAGAGACAGTATCATCCCTGACTGTAGTTTATCATCAAAATTATCCCCACAGTTTGCCCATGGGGCTTTGCATACGAAAATCTCCCCCGAATTGCCTATCATCGCTTCAACCACTTCTCAGGGTCTACATGTTTAGGTTCAACGCTAAAGTTATTAATCTTCCGAGCACTACCAACCCTTTTGGCAACGGGGATGAGATAAGAACCCAAGTGGGAAAACCCCAATGGATTACCAAAATCTGTTGTAACGTTGGAATGGGCGATACATCAGGACTAGCGTGAACCGTAACCTAGACGATACGTGCGGCAGTACTGACCACGAACAGAACCGTAGGACCCAGAGACCGAATGAACAGCACACCAGTAGGCCCAACTGCGGCCTTTAGGAGAGCTTGTATATTTGGCTCGACCGAAAAGGTCTGCCCCCCATGTTCTCTCTGTTCGGATTCGGGGATTGTACTATTTTCGCGGGGCGTTCTTGCAGTTCTATTGGAATTTTCGTTGGGTTCCACAGTTGGGCGTACTGGTGTATTGTTCACTCAGTCGCTGGGTCGTACGGTTCTGTTCCTGATCATTACTGCCGCACGTATCGTCTGGTCCCGGTTCACTCTAGTCCTGTTGTGACACTCTGTACATGTTTAATCCTTCCATTGCTACTGTTGACTGTTGTCAATTGTCAAACCCTATTGGGACAATCTTCCCTATTTCCTGCTTTTTAATTAGTTGACTGTAATCCGGCTTCGTCTTGGCGGTCGGTTGTCTTGGTTTGCTTACTGTTTGCTCCGATCGCCACACATTGGTGCTCTCTTTTAGACTGGTGCTGGCCGAATTACTTCGAATGTACGTTTCCTCTCGATTTCAACCGTGTTTTTCACCATACCGTATGTTAACGTATTGCTTTATCATTACAGAACCACTAAAGACAAGAATCCGAAACGTTCAGACTATTTTCTGATATTGTTATTGATCTATGGGGTGAGTACGCTCAATCGAAGACTAGCGAAGTACCATATATAAGAATAGCGTAGCAACACCAGTCGTTTCATCCATCTCAACCTTACAACAACTCCCCCTTTATAACTCGCCACTCACGAAATGTATCTGCTAGACGCTTTTTAACATGAAAACTGAGAGTGATGACACTGAAAAAACGAGATACCTCGTTCTGTTTCATCAACCTTAAGGCAACAGTGAAAAGCTCCTCGGATTTGGAAAAATTTTGCATTTGAAAAGCGTGCCGACCGAGGATAAACTTGATGGACAATTCCACGTAGTCCCTGGACAGCAACTCCGCATCTCGAATAAGCATGTTTTGCCGCGACCTAGATCCGGACTCTTCGTTCGCTTCCTCCGGTTCCACATCCAGCGGTGCTCCGAGAGCCGGTGGAAGTCCCGGTCCGACCAGAGGGAATGCGGTGGGGAGTGGTCGAGCGAGAGAAATCTCATCCAACAGCGTGACCACTTGAGTCAATTGAGATACGGATTCAAAAGCGCGCTCCAGGACCACACTGATTTCTACTCGATTGTCCGCAAAGAACACTGTGTCTGGGATCTCTGTCAGACCAGAAACTGCCGGTGTTAAGTTACGAAATGGTTGAGGTAGCATGTTGGAAGCGAAAGATACCTAAAACCATGGATTATTTTTGAATCAAAAATATTCGGACAACACAACCAACCTGTAAGCACCAAACATGATAGGAGAAGATGGCGTAGATTGTGGTAGGATGTAAAGCACGCCAATCAAACACAGCATATGGATTGATTTTGAAGAGACTATCAATCCCATCGCTTTGCTCGAACAGAGGTTGCAATACAGCAGAATTTTTAGCCGTAACAGTTACCAGGACACGATACAAACGTGCCAAAAGTCGTGTCGGGATCTCATACATGGTGCGGAACAGATTCAAATTGAACCGCAACACGGCTGCCAATTGCAGAGCCAAGGCATCAAGAATCTTGGACTTTTTATAGGGTGGCTCGGTCTCGGAACCCTCTAAACTAGCCGGAGTCTCCGTAGCCCTGCGTGACTCGTTCGATGCGTTCAGCTCCGAGGCAGGTGCATCAGCCCGGTTGTTCGCCGCGAATGCCTTGCGGTCGGCTAGCTCAGCTTGAGACAGAAACTGCTTTAGCAGAGATAGCTTTGTTTCCAGCGGTATTTCCTGTATATCAGTGAGCAATTGCGTCGGTTGGACGAGGTAAAATAGCCAATTCTTTTCACACGAATTAGTCATGAGGTGATTCCGTCACTTGAAAAGATAGGCGTAAAGGATAAATATTGGAATAAAAACATCATATTTGATATTCAAATGAGTATATTAGAACTATCAATAACATAAGCGAAAAACAAACAGACCGTAAAAGAATAGCACAAGTGACTTTTATCACGAACCATATCTCTCGGCGTCTCTAGCCAACGACAATCTATATCCATTGAGCACCAGGCTAGAAGGTAAACAGCATAAAACGAAGCTAATATTGAAGCTAACTTCTTCATGTTTTCTCGACATGGGAATGCTGATGCGCTGTCACGACGGCCGTACAGAGCCTACGGCGACTATCCATTTTGCAACACAACTATCGCCGCCATCACGCTCGACACACCCCAGTCCGCCCAGTGGACCGCAGCTCAGTCGAACGACCCCGACCTGCGAGTGGTCTACGACCATCTCCACCGGGACTCACGACGACCAACAGCGCAGGACATGGCTGGAAGCAGTTACCCCGCTAAGCGCATGTGGGCAATGTGGCTCAGCCTACAGCTGGTGAACGGGGTTCTTATGTATCAGGACGGACCCGCCTACACGCGACGCATCATCGCCCCGAACGGTTGTGCAACTCCCTTCATATACCGCTTACAGTCCAGCGTCCAGCGAGGGTACCGACTGGCCATAATATAATTGCAAGCGGCCCAACGATTTCAGAAGGCATACTTGTACTGCCCTGCAACTCAAGAAGGGTATCTGTCCGGTGAGCGAGTTTGGTTGTTAGAGCCCACAGCCCCAGGTGGTATCCCGAGTAAACTACATTGGCAATGCAAAGGACCACTTGTGGTACAGATAGTCTGACAACCGTTCGATTAGCCCTGCCCAGCAGCCCTCAGGGGTACAATGTTTTACATATCAACCGACCCAAACCGGCCACCGACAGAGTTGAGAACAGTGCCATTATACTAGGGTGGCGTTTTTAAGGCATCTGAGTCGAATTACAGCCCTAACGACATGGCTTCTTACGGCTTGCCTTGCAGATCTGAAAGACCCTTCCCGACAGAACATAAATGATGCCATTCATTATTAGAAGAGAGACAGGAGAGGAGTTGTTGCTCTGACTAACTCCCTTTCCTTACGCATTTTTCCTGCCTGATTCTCGAGGGAATCGGATGTCCGCTTTGTCCCGCGTTGCCCTTTTGTGTGCAAGACTTGAGCTCTCGGAGTTCCTCAATTCGCGTCGTGACCTCGTTCTCTCCAGTGAGACATGCACACGATTCGCAATCAGATCAAAATGACCGCACTACGGCTAAGCATTACAGTGCCACTTGATATTTAACTGTTATATTATTGGCTCGTGTGTGCACCAGGATGCCCCCCGTGAACGGATTCACCAGACAACAGCAAATGGGCCCAGTCTAGGTGTGGGCTGGAACCGTCGACAGACAGGAGGTTCTCCGTGGAGAAGGTGAACTGACAATCTGAAAGAGAAGAAAATGCAGACATCGTGAACCAAAAGGTCTAGTGAGACATGAACACGAACCACACTCAAACGGAATGGCAAGCTGCCAGGGTCGTTAGATCACACATTTATACTAGGCTATGTCCATTTCGTGCTCTTTGGCCTTGAAAGTTTAATTCAGTTCAGTTCAGGTCGGGTCAGGTTGCACAGGACTGAATATGGCCACGGCCAATCGCGCGTCCAGAATTCCTTCGATGGTATGTTCACTGAGTGGGCACCCAACACTGCTGAAATGAAAATGAGAAATAGGATCTCATCTCACCAATTTGGCGAGTGAATTGTTAGACGTGAGCGTTCCATTACGTGCACCAGTGAAAAAGGGCAATGACATCCTAAACAGTTGGCACACCTACACTCGTCTACACTGCCAGTGATGGGAATAGTTCTACCCATCGCTTGT